ATCAAGCACCTCCTGAGTCTAGCTTTTCTCTCCCTTGATTTTGCTGTCTCCTCTCCCCATCGCCCGCCCCTGCCCCACCCCGCTCAACCAGGACTCTGCCCAAGAAGAGCTTTGAGCAGATCAGTGCCAACATCACTAAGTTTAACATTCAGGGCCTGATCATCATCGGGGGCTTTGAGGTGAGTGCCTTGCCGTTTCTTTACCTCTGCACTGCCCCCCCCCACCTCTCACTTCCCCCCCTCACCGCCGCCCCTGCTGCGGTTCTTCTTCGCAGGCTTACACTGGGGGCCTGGAGCTGATGGAGGGCAGGAAGCAGTTTGATGAGCTGTGCATCCCGTTTGTGGTCATCCCTGCTACGGTGTCCAACAACGTCCCTGGCTCGGACTTCAGCGTGGGCGCTGACACAGCCCTCAACACTATCTGCACGGTGAGAGCCCACCGCCGCCCCCCAGGCCTCGGGCCGGGACTGTAGTCCCTGGGCTGCCTGTGCTCCTAGAAAGTGAACGGCTTTTTTTTTTTTTTCTAATTTAAGATTTTATTTATTTATTTGAGAGAGAGAGAGCATGAGCAAGGGGGAGGGACAGAGGGAGAAGCAGGCTTCCCGCTGAGCAGGGAGCCCAGTGCCATGCTCAGTCCCAGGAACCCGCGATCATGACCTGAGCTGAAGGCAGACACTTAACCAACTGAGCCACCCAGGTGCCCCGAAAGTGACCTCCTTTTTTGCTACCAGCCAAGCGAGTGTTTGAAAAGTGCTCTTGAAGCGCAGGCCTTTTCCCAGACTTTATTGGACCACATATGGGGCTCATTCTCACCTGTGAGTCTCCATCCTAGAAACCTGCCGAATGGCTTCTCCTTCCTGAGGGCCTGTGGCCTAATTTCCCCACTCTGAGCGACAGAAGGGCCGAGTACGGCTCCCTTCTGAGAGAGGACTTCCACAGCCTGGTTGGCAAGCAGGGCTGCCGTCCCTGAAGGCAGGAATGTGACGAGGTGTAGGGGCCTGGCTGGCCTGGGGAGGAGTTGGGTTGCTGCAAGGGCCAGAGGAGGGACGAGGATCAGATCCCGGGCCCGGTCTAACTAGGTAGGACCCACTGTCTTTGCAGACCTGTGACCGCATCAAGCAGTCAGCAGCAGGCACCAAGCGGCGGGTGTTCATCATTGAAACTATGGGTGGCTACTGCGGCTACCTGGCCACCATGGCAGGCCTGGCCGCTGGGGCAGATGCTGCCTACATTTTTGAGGAGCCCTTCACCATTCGGGACCTGCAGGTAGACGGCCACCCGGGGCCTGTAATGTAGCTCTGTCCGCACTGTCCCCACAGCAACCTGGTCCGTGGGGCCCTGCTAGGAGACTGCGAGGAGCGGCACGCAGGCATTTCCCGGCATCACCTCACACACACAACCACAGCTCCTGTCGTAGGGAGCATTTGTTGCGAAGGATGGCATGTTGCTAAGCCCTTCTCATGTGTTTTTGCATTTTGTCTTCAAAACAGATGTGCAGGAGAGTTATCCTCTCCATGTTACAGACGAGAACCATTTAGAGAGGTTAAAAGCCTTGTCTAAACTGGCGAGGTGGTTTAACTAGCAGAGAGTCAGTCTTTCTACGGCATCAGGCCACCCCTCCAGATTTCCCTTGCTCCCAGGCTCTTTCCCGTCACTTCCGGGGTGGGGGGCGCTCCGACTCCTGTTCCACAGAGAAACTACATGATCCTAATTTTCCAAGATCTCAGTTCGCTGGAGGAAAGAGGAACCACCAAGTGGAGGGGCAGCAGGCTGAGGGAACTCCCTAATCTGAAAACCCAGCCAACCCCTGCCAGGGATGGAGGGTGGGAGTCTTCCTCCTGTACCCCCGACTCAAAGCCCAGATGAAGGAACTGGTTCCTCCCGGGTCAATGACTGCTGCACACACACAAGCAAACCATTTAAAGGGCGACACTGAGAGCGAGAGTCAGCCCCCTGAGGGAAGGGAACCGGAAACCCCTGGGAAGGGACACTGGGAGCGGGTGGAAAGGCAAAAACTGGCAGTTGCCACAGCCACAGCTGCCTCGGACTTGCCTCCTTCCAGCTCGGCCTGTCTCGTTCGGAATCTCTGTTTAAATTTCTGTCCGCTGAACTTCTTGTAGGGACAAGACAGGATCGCAGACAGCTGTCTTCCATGTCTCCGCTTCTAGAGAGGCCTGGTGGGGAACCAGAGAGCCAGGCACCTGCCCAGCCTCATCCACTCCCAGCTAGGCTTAGGATTTGCGCTCTTTGTTTTCAGGCAAATGTTGAACATCTGGTGCAAAAGATGAAAACAACTGTGAAGAGGGGCCTGGTCTTAAGGTACCTCATCCACGGCTTGTTCCTGAGTGAAAAGACAATAGGCTCTGGCTCTAGCCCACAGGCTGCACCCACGCTCGGGACACCCCCGGGAATTTGGATACAAAGGGAGAGAACCTGAGCCACGGGAGATGGAAAAAGCAGGAAAGGGTTGCGAGGGATGGATGGGGAGAGGACCAAAGTCAGGCTTTTGGTGTCTACTTGGCAGGAATGAGAAGTGCAATGAGAACTATACCACGGACTTCATTTTCAACCTGTACTCTGAGGAGGGGAAGGGCATCTTCGACAGCAGGAAGAATGTGCTCGGCCACATGCAGCAGGTAGGGAAGGTGCCTCCGTCCTGCCCCTCACCAGATGGCCATACCCTCCGTGGCCACTGGGTCTCCCACTGGCCTCCAATCTGCCGGAGGCCATTGGTGCCACCATAGAGCGTGAGCCTGCAATTTCTTACTGTCATAGGACCTGAATATCTCTACTCTGGAAATAGCCTTAGAGATGATGTGGTCCGTCCTCTCCATTTAGGGCAGGGTGGGCTGGATAATTCTTCATCGCGGGTGGCTGTTGTGTGCACTGTGGGATCCTTTAGTGACATCTGTAGACTCTACCCCCTAGAGGCCCGTAGCACCTCCTTCCGGAGTTGTATCAACTACAAAAATGTCTTCAGACATTGCCAGATGTCCCCTGGGAGGGAAAGTCACCTCCAGGTGAGAACCACTAGTTCAGATGAAGAACATGAGGCCCAGAGAGGAGAAACAAGCCTGGGTGAGAGCCAGGGCACCTATTCCAGGGCCCTTCCCACCACACCACGCTGCCTTCCAGAAGGAACCTGCACACAGGCACCTCACTGGTGTGGGCTCCATCTCCACCAACTGGGGTATCCGGGGGAAACGGATACCTTTCTACCAGCCACGTTCAACCCCCACACCTGTGGTGGGTCTCACTCCCTGATGGTACTAGTGGTCTTAGGCCTCCCCATCCGGTGTCTCCAGCCAATGCTGCTTAAGTGCGGACCCCAATAGTACCCTTAAGAATAGGGGTACTATTGGATAAAGTATGGCCACCTCGTCCCCGCTTCCCACCTACGTTCGCTTAGTTCAGAGAAAATCCATGTGGCGTTTTATTGTGAGATGGTGGATCCATCCCAAGGGCATCCATATTGGTTCCTAAGGAACGCTTCTGTGTCATTGATGATGGTGACTGACAAGGGCTGCTCAGAAGTGACTGAATGGCCAGACGCGAGGTGAAGGAACAGGAGCTGACAGCTGTGGAGCTAGAAGAGGCAGCTGTGAGACCAGTTACCCCCTTGTCTAATTAGTCACCCTTACTCCTGATAAATGGCCACACCTGCTGTGCCCGCGCACTCTGGTGCTCAGCACGGTCTCAGAATTTTCTTTCAGAGTTAGACTTCTGGATTCCTGTTACTGGCCGTAAACCTGAGGCCTTTTCTTTATCTCTGTATGTTCGGGTATCTCTGCTACTTGATTAGAGTCTTTCCCTCAGTAATCTTTATGCTTTTTTTTCCAGGGTGGGAGCCCAACTCCATTTGACAGGAATTTTGCCACTAAGATGGGCGCCAAGGCTATGAACTGGATGTCTGGGAAAATCAAAGAGAGTTACCGTAATGGTAGGTTGGGAAAGAGGGGAAGCCCCCTCCAGAGGCTGGTTCCCCATTATTGAAGCTTACTGATCGTCCTTCGTTGCAGGGAGGATCTTTGCCAATACGCCAGACTCTGGCTGTGTTCTGGGGATGCGTAAGAGGGCTCTGGTCTTTCAACCAGTGACTGAGCTGAAGGACCAGACAGATTTTGAGTGAGTACATCTGCTTCCCTGGTAGTTTCAGGGTCTACTCTTCCCAGCCTGTGCGCTGCCTTCAATCCTCTCATCCTAGGACTAACACCGTCGTCACACCTATTTCAGATCTTAACCCCGTGCCCTAAAATCCGGCCTCTTCTACTCAACTTCTTTCCATAAGCTTTGGATAGAAGTCAGTTGGGGTGCTAAAAGCTGAAATCATCATCTCTCTCATTTCTCTGTAGTCACCGCATCCCCAAGGAACAGTGGTGGCTGAAGCTGAGGCCCATCCTCAAGATCCTAGCCAAGTACGAGATTGACTTGGACACCACAGAGCACGCCCACCTGGAGCACATCAGTCGGAAGCGATCCGGAGAAACTTCTATCTAACCCTCTTTGGAGTGAGGGTCATGGATTGTCTGATCATGGTCAGCTCACCCCCTGATAGATCCAAGTCCATGTATCCCCAAGTATTTTAGCTCATTTTTCTTTAGGTTTCCTTTTATTCTGCAACTGTAGCCATGACCAGCTCTGGCCAGGGAGCTGGGGCAGTGGGCAGTGAGTAGAGGCTCCTTTTAGGTGGAATTTATCAACTTCTACCCCAGCTTCATCTGTCACACAAGACTGGGCTCCTCTAGTGCTACTGCTAGATTTCAGCTACTCGGTTAGAATTTTCCTGAAAATAAGCTTTATTTATTTCTTTGTGATAACAAAGTCATGGTTCCTCTATTACTTTTACTGCAGTGACAAACAATAGCTACACTAATAAATGCCAACTGGTCACTGTGCTTTTGGTTCTCCTGTTGTCACTTTCACAAGTGAATGTCAGCCTGTTAACCCTAAGGACTGGACTCTGTTCAGACACCTGGGAAAATGCAGCCCATACGATCACCCCACGTACCTCTCCACCTCATGGCTTTTGTCCCCCCACAGCATCTCTTGGCTGTGAACATAGGGATCTAGAACATCATCGTACACTGGTCCTTACCCTCATTCCACACCAGTCCCTCCTGCATCCTCCATAGCCATAGGACGTGCCAGGCTCTCTTAAGCATGAAGTTGTGTTTCACCTTCTGATCATATGCTCATGACCTGAGGGTGCTTTTTTCCAGCCATCCTATGAGCTCTACTCTTCTGACAACCTAGGGTTCTTTCTTCTCAACTCTTCCCCCGTACTCCTTCCTAGATGAAAGGCAGACTCCATTTGTGAGGAGCCATGCACATTTTGAAAGCCTGGGAAAGGGACCCCCAGACCAGGACCTGGTTTGGTGGTTTGGCTGAAATATGGCTTTAAAGAGTTGTTGGTTCTTATTCAGCTCAATGTATTTTCTGTGCCATAACAACAGCTTCCTCCTCCTCATTAGCCATGTGACTGCATCATGCAGTTGGTCTTCAGGAACCATCTAAACTGATAGGATGGTGCCCTGTTGATGCCTGGTTTAAGCTTAGCTTCCAAAAACCAGATCCTGTCACTTGTCACAAGCACACATACTCCCCCCAACCCGGTTTCCTCATTTGCTTGACGAAGCAGGGAGAGGTTCAAGGTTTTACCAGTGGTGGAGGAAGGATTATCTCTAGTAGGCTGCTTTTGCTGGCTGTCCAAAGTATTACCTCTGTACTGTGCAAGCGGTTCTGAACAGGAACTGAGGCGGCTTGTCGGAATCCAGAATTAAAGCAGCCAGATGTTCTTTGGGCAGTTCTTTAAGGGGAAGAGAAATAACAATAAATATCAAGCACTGTTTGTCACGGCATCCTCAGACCAGCTAATGAGGAGGGTGATGGCAGCCCCGCTCCAGAGTGATGGACAACGGGACTCCCAGTGATTAAATAACGTGGAGAGAAGCAGGAATAGTAGAAATTGCCAAAATTGCTTTTAGAAGTGTTTATTTCTCTTTTTTCAAGTGAGCAAAAAAAAAAAAAATAAAAAAAAAGAAAGAAAAGAGAAAACAAAAAAACCCTAGCAACAGCAAAAGGGCAAAAGCAGACATAGTTTTTCAAATTAGCTGTGTTAGCAGATTCCAATCATTTTTATTTGTAGTTTCCAATCAGTTAAAAAAAAAAAAAAAGGTTTTTCAAAATTGCATCTGGGTCATCCAAGATCAGTAACGACCTGATCTAGTTTAGGACCATGAAAAGGAAGAGTACTGTTGGCTAAGTATGGGTCCCTAAAGCAGCTCTGTGGTGAGTAGGCGGGCCATGGCAAAAGCAGCTCTTACAGAGCTCGTCCCCCGCACCCTCCGCTCCCCTGACGTCTTGTATAGATCAGTAAAAAGCAAACTTTCCAAAACAATTGAAAGGAAGGTAACTCCCAACTCTTAGGAGAGTGAGCTTCCTACAAGGAAATGAAGAAGACCCGTGGGAAGAGGCAGCCCAGCCCATCGTCTCCTGCTGGCGTAAAACACCTTCACCAAAGGTGCTCAAACACCTGCCAAGCCCGATGGAGCAAACTGGCTTTCACCAAGAGAAAGAACTGCGTTAGGAGAAAAGTTCTGAGGACACGGAGTTCTTAGGACTGCTGGGACCTCTCTTCTACCATGTGGAAAGCAGCAAGACCATGCTATTGCTGAGCTACCGTAAGCCTCAGGCACACCCATGGAACAGAGGCCAAAGGTGCAGGTTCCTCTGATGGTGAGCAAGGGGCAGTCCCCTCCGGCCGCTCCATGCACCTTAGGGCATCATCCAGCCCAACTGTGAATCTGCACATCCTGTGAGGTTGGAGGATCTTCATCTTTGGCTGGGATGTTTGAAACTTCTTCATGGACCAGTTACAATGCTTCTGGAGGGATGCTTCTGAAATGTTAATCATGTTCCCGAAGGAAAGCTAAACACACATTCTTTAAATACTCTTCATCTTCCTAGAGTTTAGTTGCACTTTTTCCCTATAGGGGAGGGGGGAGGCCTCTCCATTTGTAGGGTGCAATATAAAAAGCCAAGTAAGCAATAAACAGAAAACAAAAGTGAGGGATTTTTTGTTTGTTTGGTTGCTTGGTTTAGGGAGGGGAGATGGTGTGGAGGTTACTGTTGTGACACGTTGCCTCTAAATACAAACCACACAACAGGAACGACTGCTTTTCCTGTTTTCCAAGACAAAGAGTGTACTGCAGGGAAACACCTCGGCCGGAGTTGCCTGCGTGACGGTGCAAATGTTTCCTCCAGCCTATTCTACAAGTAACAGGTATTCCTTCAGAGAAGCTGGCAGTGGGAGGCCCTTGACTGCATCTGGCAGATACTGGAGTCCTAAACTCCGGCGCACAGCATAGCGAGAGAGTGTTTTTAGAGTTCCTGGGGCTGAGCACAGAACAGTCAGTTTTTCACACAGCTGCTGGTCTCTGGCCACTTCGCGTGGCATGGTGCCATTCTTCCTTAATTCAAAGTGTCCAACAGCTCTGTAGAGGAGCTCAAAGCAAGAGTCTTCCTTCTCTGTTCCGAGTCCCCTAACTAACAGAGCCACCAGGCGGGAGATGGGCGTCTGGCCTTTTAGGTTGATGACTCTGACCTCTGCACCGTAATCAAGAAGGATGCTAACGCTCTCGAGATTCCCCTTCATGGCGGCCCAGCTGAGCGGGGTATCATTGTTATAATCCAGGGCATTGACAGAGGCCCCGCTCTCTAGCAGGGCCCGCACACACTCGGCATTGTTCTTAAAGGCTGCCCAGTGAAGTGGGGTGTCTCGGTTGCCATCCAGTGCATTGGGGTTTGCTCCATACTCCAAGAGGACCTCCACACAAGCCTCATCTTTCTCAGCTGCATAGTGGAGGGCTGTTCGGTTGTAACCATCCAGGGCATTCACCTGTAAAGAGGGAGGAACTACATTACAGTAGCTAGACTGCTGACAGGAAGATGGGCGGGCAAAAGCTTGCGTGTATCAGTCCACTACCTTTGCTATGTCCTGTTCTGAATATGAGAATCAACAAGCAATTCCCGAGGAGTCTTGGTGATCAAGAGGAGATATGACAAGAACTTAGGAACAAATAGGGAGAGAATGGTCTCAAAACAACCAGCACTCTATTCTGGGCATTGACTAGGTGGCCTGCATTATATAGGCTTTTGCTCTGTTCTTGTTTATTATTCACTAGGATCCCTACCATGGGGTAAGGGGTAAAGAAAGAGATGAAGTCTAAAACCTTGTAACTACTCTGGAAGACATTTATTGGAAAGTAGCTTGAATATATTAGCCAGAGTAAAGGTTTTAGATTATTTTGCTTATCCCATCTCACTCTATACTGTGGCTAATGGCAATCACACTGAAAAATGAGGCCAAACTCTGCCCACGTAGCGTTGCTGTGCTCTGTAGCCATACAGAGCAGCTCAAATTGTTAATCCAATCAGCTCCCTTGCAAAAATATGCTGTGCAGTCACAAGAGAACTTCGATAAAAGCATCTGAAGGGAAGAGCACAGATCTTCCAAAGCTGGAAGAGCAGCTGACTTGCTAAAAATCAACATTACTTATAATTTTTGAAGGCTACAAAGACTTCAAAACCCAAATTTATACTATCTTCCCCTAAAAGTGCAATAAAAATACGCTGAAATATTTAACTGAGTTTAACTTTCTATTTAGCTAAAAACTTTTCTCCCCCAGGAGATTTTCATCATTGACATTAGTCACTGGCTTTCATTTCAGGGCCACTCACAAGAGTGATGGAATAGATAACGACAAGCAGAGAACAGCATGGCTGTGTGGAGATGATGGCCCCTTAGGCTAACTGACCAATATTTGGGGCCTGAACACCAGCTTCATGGCACGTCTGATTCCAATTAGCGCCTCAGCACATGCAACTTCCTGATTGCTTACAAATAGTTAAAACTGCTTATTTATTTATTAAAAAAGTGCTGACTTAGCAATTACTACATGCTGGTGACTACGTACTTGACAATCTTGTGAAGAAGGGGTCATTATCACCTTCGTTTTACAGATGGGGAAACCGAGGCAAAGAAAAATTAAGTAACGTGTTCAAAGTCACACAGCTGGAAGTGACAGAGCTGGGATTCAAATCCATGAAGTCTGGCTCCCGAGTCCATTCTTTTATCATTCATTACACTAAGCTGCTTCTTGCTAATGCCAATATAAATTAACCCATGTCTCTTATTTTAAGATACATTAAAAAGAAGATAGGAACAAGATACAATAAATGGAAAATAATTAGTGGGCAGATAGCACAAGTAGCTCAGCCCTGAGGAATGGGTTACCTAATGATATTCATCTCCCAGTTACAGTGGTATTAGAAGTTCATGTCTGGTTGCAGGTGTCAATGGTTTAGATTTAATCACTTGAGGGGCCTCTGTACTTAGAGCTCCTGGACAGTCAAGAGGCAACAAGAGGACGGAATGGAAATGTAAACAACCCCAGAAGGAAGGCTGGGAGAGAAAGGGGAGATAAAACCCCCTCTTCTGGAGCCACAGGCAACTTAAGAAAGAAAGGCAAAGGAATGAAATCCTTTGGATCACAGAATATATTCACCGTTACATTTTGGCTATGCCAATGTGACCGTGGGCCAGAAGATGGGAAGATATGGGAGAAGAGACAAGCTTTAGGAAAATGTGAAGCTCAAGTTTTAGTGGACCATTAATGTGACAGTGGTAAGAACTTTACCTCAGCTCCTTTTTCCAAGAGTAACTCCACACAGTCAGCATCTGACACCATGCAGGCACAGTGCAGTGGCTTCAGTGTGCCATGGGTACAGTTCACATCTGCTCCCTATGGGCAGAAGGAAACTCCAGTCAGTGTGCTCAGCTCTGGCTCGCTGAGCGGGACGAGACTCAGAAGTGAGTCCAGGGTAGAAGAGGGTTGTAGCTCTGACTGTACTATAAACATGCTACTGGTCCCAGTTTCTCTTCCTATGTATTAAATAATATCCAAACCAAGAGAACACTCTGAAGATGAATGAAAGGAACTATTAATTCCTTAGATCAAGTTATTGAGTTTTTCCACAAGGCAACTTGCCAGGTGGTCATCTAGACACCGCTGAGGACCTATAGCCTCAAGTGTAAAAGCAATGGAAAACTTAGTATCGGGCAGGAAAGCTGGAAAAGCAATCCACTCTCCATGGCCACCATGCTCTGAAAAGGTCAGGAAAGGGAGTCTGTCACAATGAAGCCAGAACCTGGCATGTTCCTTTTGCCATTCAACAGATGAACATCATTAATAGTGAGGTCATCTTAACGTTATCTTTTTGTTTATAAACATCTTCAAAGTAGCCTCTTAGCTTCGGCATTCTCTGCCACCTAGGCCCTGCTGGTACTTCTGTTTCAAATCTGATGAAAGGAGATGGGGATCCTAGGGGCAGACCAAAGTCGCTGAATGACTCAGCAGCAGAGCTAGAATTAGAATGTGACAAACTTCCTACTGCTGGATCCTCTGGTACCGCTTTTGCTGAGAACAAGTTAACGCTGTATGACCATTTCTTCTCAAAGCTGCACCACCCAACTCTGCAGCAGCTAAAGAGCTCCAGGCTGTAAATAAGGATTCTACAGTTGTTGAAAGAATGTACAAAGGTAACCACCTGGACACATTTTCTAGGGAGCAAAAAATTACCCTGTAACTTCTCTTCAATAGGAATAATAGTCAGAAAAAAGTATCAAAGACCAAAGACTGTCTAGGATACTAGTCATATAACAATTGTTGCATAGCAGTGGTTAGATATGTTAAGATGTTTTCTTAAGTCAAAAATTACCACGCACTTTAGGGGTTGACATTCCTTACAGAACTCCCAAGTGGTAGCTGCTGTCAAGATGGATGGCAAGTGATATCTCTCTGTGTAATTATTATAACCACAAGGATGTGAAAACCATTTCTGCTTTGCTCGTCTCCTTCCTCCCTTAGTAAAACATGTGTAGAAGACTTTGAGCTTGCTGGATCCCATATGTAACACATCCAGAGAGACATTTTACAAAGACTGTGAGACTAGGGTTATCTAGAACATCTTTCCTGAGGAAAGTATCAGATGCACAAAGTGAAAGGGAGAAGGAGAGAGAAGCAAAACACAAGGAAATGTACTTTCATGGTCAAGTTAATACATGTGAGAGGACCGTAAAAACTCCTTGTAATCTTGTGGTGAGTCAATGCTACAAATCTGTAATCTATTATGATTCCCCCAGGAACTGTCCCCCTTCACCTCCCACAGGACTCCCCATCAATCCAGCACACTCACCCCTCTGATGAGGTCCTCTACATTATCATGTGGGAAGGAACGAATGGCAGCGATTGTTCGGATTAAGCGCTCTGAGAGAGAGTATTTGCTCTGAATGCTCTGCATAATATACCACATACTGGAACTCATCAAGGCTCAGAGTATGTTCACATGCTCCAAACTGCCTGAAACAAAGAAGTTTTAGGCATACACAATATCACTGAGCAAACCTGTCCCTGGGATTAGGAGTTCTCTGAGGCCTTCCCAACTTTTACTAGATTTCAAACAGATCAACGATTAATTAATATTTTTTCTTAATCATAAAGAAATAGATCGTAATAGTTGCCTAGGGAGCTGGGTAAACCGCATGAAAATGCTCTAACCCTCGGCACTTCAATGCTACTCTCTGAACTAGTCAAGAGGCCCCAAGACCCTAACTGAGCTCTGTGTAGTTTTAAAAAAGACCAGGCAAGGAAGGGGATTTTTTTTTTTTTTTTTTTTTTTAAGGCTGAGGATGCCACACAACACACTTTTCCTCCTCTGGATTCTGCGGTCTTTCCTATCAGCATCACCTTTAGCTTACTTGTTATATTTGGCCCTGCAGTATAGTTATTTTCATACCGCTTCTCCTCTAAATTGTAATCAATTAGAAGTCAAGGTCTCTGTCTTCTATTTTTTTTGTCCATGGAAGGCCAGCCAGAGTCTCACAAAAAGTAGGTATTTCACAAAGACTGGTCGATTGACCAAAGGCTATAGAAGTGATCGATACCTGTGTAAAGAGAGGGAAAAGGCTATGGAACAAATATATCTATGTTAACAACAATGAGGCATCTGTGAAACAGTTTAAAATGTCTTCAACAAAGAAAAAAAAAGGAAAATATTTGAGGTGATATTCTAAAACAAAAATGTCAAAAGTCACGTATATAAAATTAGAAAAAAATTGCAGTTGATATCAATGACATATGCTTGTGGTTGTAGGAAAACAAGAAGATTTGAGTGCAAAATGAACTAAAAATTTTAATAATTGGCTGTTCAAGACAGCTGAGAAATAGATTTGGGCAAATATATGTTGTTCAAGCCAGAATATGACAGTGAGTTCTAGCATTCAATAAGAAAATAATGCAAAACACTCAAATTTAACTGATAAAAGTTTTGGCTGTATAAGAGCCATATACTAGTTGGGGAACATTTAAAATTCTAGCAAACAAGGTGGAACATTTCCATGAAAAAACATAAATCAAAAACTTCAGAAAAAAAACAGTATGCAGTATCAGCTTTCTAGACAGAACTGCTTAGGAATACGTGTTCTTATTGAACTATACGTTCCTTGAGGGTAAATATAGTGTTATTTTCAATAGTTCCTGGCACATGGCAGGTTCTCAATATTTGTTGAATGTAAAGATTATTACTTTAGATTCTAAAAATCCAAGACTTGCATAATTACATACGTTATGCATATGGTGACTACTAAGGTAAAAAAGCCCAAAGTTGGGATCCCTGGGTGGCGCAGCGGTTTGGCGCCTGCCTTTGGCCCAGGGCGCGATCCTGGAGACCCGGGATCGAATCCCACGTCAGGCTCCCGGTGCATGGAGCCTGCTTCTCCCTCTGCCTGTGTCTCTGCCTCTCTCTCTCAATCTGTGACTATCATAAATAAATAAAAATTAAAAAAAAACCAAAGTTATTTTAGTCCTTTCACACTACATAATTTTTGCTTTCCATAATGGAGTAGCCCCTTACGAATTATGTAATATAAGTTTGAATAGTTTCTATTTTGCGAATCAGTAGCCATTTGTCTGTTTAAGCTATTACAGTATTAACTAACAGGATGTAAGTTAACAATGTTCCGAGGCATCAAAGATTCATACTGGGCATTCTTCTCCCCTACGTTGTTATTATTATTATTAATTATTATTAATTATTATTATTTTAAAGATTTTATTTATTTATTCATGAGAGACACACACAGAGAGAGAGAGAGAGAGGCAGAGTCACAGGCAGAGGGAGAAGCAGGCTCCATGCACCGGGAGCCTGACGTGGGATTCGATCCCGGGTCTCCAGGATCGCGCCCTGGGCCAAAGGCAGGCGCCAAACCACTGCGCCACCCAGGGATCCCTTATTAATTATTTTAAAAGATTTTATTTATTTATTCATGAGAGACACAGAGAGGCAGAGTCACAGGCAGAGGGAGAAGCAGGCTCCATGCAGGGAGCCCGGCGCGGGACTCGATCCCGGGTCTCCAAGGTCACGGGGCTCGGTCTGGGGTCTTCAGGGTCACGCCCTGGGCTGACGGCGGCGCTAAACCGCTGAGCCCGGGCTGCCGCCTCTACGTCATTATGAATGAATAACCTTATGCACTTATTTATAGGTCCCTCTGAAATTTTCTAGATAGTTTAGACTTGACATATGTTTGAATCTAGCAGCTTAAATGCAGAGACAAGGGTCTGTATCTTATACTTCTTTGTTGCAAGGGAAAAGGAGGAAAAAGCAGGGGTGCGTTTGCGCCAGAGATTCCAGGACGGGGGCAGAAGACAGAGCACCTAAAGCGAAAGGCCCAGCTGAACTGGTTCCGCTAACCACTCACGGGCCACGATAACCTTGAAGACACTAAACCCCGCAATCATTTTCGGGGCACTCTTGGGACTCCAGGCTTCCAAGTCCTAACGGGTCAGGGCTGGCGGTTCTGTGCTGCTGCGCCCAAGCACGGCGCACGTGGGGAAGGGCCACGGCAACGTACACTCGACCCATCTCCTGACAGCAGCCCCGCGCCCTTTGACCCCAAGGGGCCCCTTTCCTCTGCTGGAGCCAAAAGCCCCCCCCCCCCCCGCATTTCACTTCGGATCCAGAGAAAACACCAAGGGGTTCCTCTATGGCAAGGCGGGAGAGGGGCGACACCGACAGTTCCGGCGCTAGCGAGGTGCCAGCGCGCGCCCAGGCCGGGAGACCCTCCGCGCAGCCGCGGGCGCCCCAACCCCGCCGCACCTGCCACGTCCGGCCGAGGCAAGGCGCCGCAGGGCGAGGGCACGAAGCGCGAGGACGAGCGGGGTCGCTTTCCGCAAGGGATGCGCAGAGCTCGCAGCAAAGCCTGCAGCGTCCCGGGGCGGGCGGCGGAGAGACGCGGTCGCGCGAGGGACGCCGGCGGAGCCCCCGCCCGACTCCCCCAAGGCCGGGGGCCGTCTCTGCCTCGAAGGCTAAGGAAACCCGAGCTGGGAGCGGAGGAGGAGTTCCCGGGCGGAGCGCCACGGGCCCGCACTCCCGCAGCCGCGGACGCACTCACCGGACCTCGGGCGCGGAGCCGGGCGGGGAACGCCGCTGTCAAGGCGCGACCCGGAAGCAGAAGCCGTCGTCTCCGGCGGGCCCCTCTGTCAGTGCACAGGATGTGAAAGGCGACGGGGAGGGGTGCCCGCGCGCCGACCAATGGCTGCGGGCGGCGCGCGCCTGCGCAGACTCGTCAGGCGGCCTCCGTCCTCCCCGGGTAGAGGTAACAGGTGATTTTCTGGGCCCGCCGGGAGGGCTGCGCGCAGGCGCAGTGCGGCGCTGTCGGCCGCCGGGCGCTCGGGTCCGCGGCTACGGGGCGGCGGGGGGTGGGGGTGGGGGCGGCGCCTGCGTGGAGCGGGCTGGTAGCGGGCCCTCCCTGCCCTCCCTGCCCTCCCTGCCCGGCGCTGCCTGCCGCTGAGCGGGGGCCGGAGCAGCTCAGTTCGACGCGGCCAAACCCGCTGGCCTGGCTCAGTAGCCGGGGAGACCGGGCGGGCAGGAGCAGTTCACAGGGCGGGAACGCTCGTCTGCTCTTCCGCACCGGCCGGCCCCTCCGCCCGCCCCCCGGAGCTGTGCCGCAGGTAACCACCCGAGGGGAGGAGTCGCCTACCTGTCGGAGACGGAAAAGGACGGAGGGCTGCCCCCTCCTCCGCCGTGAGGGGAGCCCACACCTGTCGGCGAGGTGCCTTCCCCGCAGAGCCGCCGCCGCCGGGAGACGCGCAGCCTGTGGCCCGCCCGGCCGCGCCCCTCACCTGCTCCCCAGAGCGTGTCCTAAGCCCCATAATCGAAGGAGTTTTAGCGTAAAGCAGGGCCCGGACAGTTGGTGACGTCACCGAGGGGATGATGAACTGGAAGGCTCGTGCCTAGTCGGCGGGCCCAGAGCACTCTTGCCAAGGGGGATGCGCCCTCCACCCCCCGCCACTCTGCTAGGGCGAGGTCGTCCGGTTCTCTCCAAAGAAGCTCGAGTCCAGGTTTTGAGAGGAGTGAATCCTCCCCAATTGCAAATATGGGCAACGCCTTTTAAAAAGAGTCATTTTGAAAGCAGGCAACAGTCAGCCCGTGAGCCACCAATTCCATACTCTGGATCAAAGGCTGCTTTGGTCATTGGTGGTTCTTCGGGAAGAAGGGCTTAGGGTTGACTGGAAGCTGCAGCTACCTATTAACTACAGCGCTTTTAATTCATAGATTTGTTTAGGAGATGTTGAAGGGATCTGAACATTATGTGGAGGCCCCACCCCCCACAACTACCGTAAGGCATTTGATCAAATTCAGTGAATGGAAACTGTTTGATTCTGTACCCATTGCTTCTAAGGCAGAAATCTGTATTATTCTCTAGGGCCCTACAGAGTCTTAAACCTTCAAACACAAGGGCAAGAGATACCGGTGTTGCTGCTGATCCACAAGTTCATCCTGTGAACCTAAGTCCTTCCTGGCCACCAGCAGGGAAGACCATAGATAAAATCAAAGCACTACGTGTCTCGTCAGACCTGACCTTGTTTCAGTCAGTACCTCTCAAACTCCCATCCCCGTGTCTAGAACTGTGTGACTCCTTTTAATACCCCAACGGTATATTCTCCCTAGAATCCCCCTTGAATCCTACTTGGCTGGGGGAATTAATGAGGTGAGAGGCAGATGTGTAATAAATTCCACTGCACGATGCAGTGGTCCAAGGTGTGCTAGCTCTCCCTCTCCCTCTAGGCCCAGTAAGGTGATGCTTTGCTTGGCACCACCCATAGCTTTCTCTAAGTGGAGCACAAGCTTCAGACGGTTGACCTATTGAAGGGTTGATGACTGCCTCTACGGCCTTCATTTTATTAAGTCTAGCACTACTCTGTGTTGGAAAACCCACTGCACAAAAGAAGGAGGTCCCCACGTGGACACAGCAGAAATGATAGGGTCAGAAGATGCAACGTGTGCAAGTAGTGCACCTGAGTTTCCCTGCCTTGGCAGCTTTTATTTAAAAGAGTCGTATGCCACTCAGGTGGAGAGAGAAACCAGAGTACAGAAGTACAGAAGACCTAACTTTTGTTCTGGCTTTGAGATTGATAGTTACTTCATCCCATTTCTTTGGGCATCAGTGTTCTCATTTGTAAAGAGAGCATTGGCTGAAATAACCTCTGAATATCCTTCTATTTCTATAATTCTGAATCTGTGTGATTCTTGCTTCTAAAATTTTTTACTCTCTTGTCAGATAAGAACAGCTTTGTGGCTATCATAAGAGTACTACATTAATGGGACCTGTGAGGGCTTAATTAGAAGATGCCAAAGTCGACATAGTTTCCGTTCCATTTTTGCTTCCTCTCTAAAGCAGGGTAAAGACAGTGCTGATTCCAAACTTCAGCTTTTAAATGTTATTTGTGTTACATAAATGTTCAAGCATACTAAAAAACACTAGAGAGAATAGTATCGATGAACTCCTATCTGTCATCCATATTTAACATATTAACATTTTGTCAGACATTTTAAAAATCCATTTTTTCTTTGTTGTTCTGTACAGCTTTAGGGTTTCCTAATAAACTATTCAGACAATACCCACAGTTCCCATGGTTTGGGAGGGAAACTTTTGACATCCTGTAAGTTTTCTAAAAACTTGAGCTATCTCGTGTTTATGTATTCATTTATTCCTTGAAAAAACTGTGAATTTTTCCCCGGGTTGTCATGTTTCTCAAAAGTTCTTGATTGGTAAATGATAGGGTGTATAAATTCTGGCAAACTCCCAGCATCTTATAAATATAGAATGAGACTCCCATAGGCCATCTATGCAGATGATTTCATAGTGTCTGAGGATCCACTGCACAACCAAAGGAGTTTTCAGATCCATTCATTAATACATTTATCAAACATTTACTGGCAATTTGTTCCAGGCCCTGTGCTCACAATGCAGGGAAGACAGTGATGGAGAAACACATTCTCTTATTACCAAGGGTTGGAGATGGATTTGCAAACAGTTGCAATTCAGGATAATTATTTCAACAAAGTTTTAACATTCAAAGTCAATGTTGAAGAACAGTTGTACTTCACAGTGAGATGGAGAGAATATAGGGCGGAAGGGTCTGTGAAGAGGTTTCTTGAGGAGAAATTTGTTTGTGCTCTTCAGTTCCCACTCCCTTCCCACCCAAAGGGAGAGTTAGTGATGGTGCTGCATCCCTGTCCTTCAGCCCAGAGAGGGCCTTCTCTGGGACCAGGGAGGTTGGCAATTGTTTCCCATAGTTGTAAAACACAGCACCAGCACTTGCCTATAATTTAAAGGCAGTAGC